ATACCCAAAGGAATGCTAAGATCTTTTCATCAAAAACCAAACAAACTTGGTTGAACCCTAAAATAAAGGGAGTGTTAAAGGGCAAAGAAATAAACGCATTTCATTTCATGGCTGCTTGAGTCTGCTGGCTCTTCCTGTTTGGAAGGGAGTCTTCCGTAGCTTAGCAAAATAGCCATTTTCACACTGTTCCACCCATGTTAAGATGTAATTTAATGGATTTCAATGGTGGGAAAGGACCATGTTTGATTTTATGCTCTGTTCAGCACCTAAGAACCATGCCTAGTACTCAACACTCTTATTCCTAAAACAACTGAAATGACATAATGTAGCTTCCCAGTTTAACTGCTCTTGAGAATGGAGATTTTTAAAGGACAAATGTCACAGGTCGCAAGATATGACACTTATCCTTTATAAGGAAAAGAACATTTCCCAATGTGGAAATAGATGCTAAAAATCCAATAGCTACCTAGGGTAGATAGGGGGAGAGGAGGAACAATCTCAGAGGCTCCTCAAATGGACCAGTGACGTCTATCAATTGGGATTGTTTCCCATCTTTAAACTGCAAGAGAAAGGAAACCAATAGATTCTTTTCCCAGACACTGCTAAAGGACTTTAAATAATATAATTAATGATAATTAGTGATAAATAATTTTTTCCTCTCAGATTTCATAGATACTATAAGAGCTCTGGAAAATGGCAACTAGCACAGAAAGAGTCTGTAAGATCCAAGTTTGAATCCTACCTCATTTATTTCCTGTGAGTTACTTAACCTCCCCCCCTCAATATCAGTTATGTCATTTATAAAATGAGAATAAAAATAATACCTACCTCCCAGGGGTTTTGTGATGATCAAATGAGTAAATAAATGTGAAGTACTTGAAAACCCTAAAGTGCTATATGCTCTTATTAAAATGCTTGGTAATGGTAGCAAAAACAAGAAAAGGCAGAATATTTCAAGTCCATGTAATTCCTTTGGGAAGAAGAGAGTTGTCCAAGTTCCTGCCAGTACTGTAATCAGAGGGCCAGTATGATTTTGGGAAAGGATGTTAGAGAGAAAACTTTACCTCGTCATAGCTTAAGTGTACTCTCTTCCAAAATGCCTTCCCAGAACATAAATAGGTTACAACACATTACCAACAGTGGCTTGTGAACTCAACTGGTATAAGGGAAGTGTGATGGGAAAAGAGAGAGTGAGGGATAATGGGTAAAGCAGCCTATATGTCATATGGGTACCCAAGGAATGGTCCAAGACTTCTAGAATATCAGGTGAATAGCTTATGGGAAAACTGACAGAGAGAAAATGAAAAGAGCTACATGGGCTGAGGACCTGTAGAGGGGCTGTGAGCTGCATCTTTGGAGGGAGCACTCCAAGCAGCAATATCTCAGAGCAGTAAAAGAGAAGAAGAGCGTGAATGATCTGATTTCAAATTTCAGTTCTGGCAGCAAGGTGGTACAGTGGATAAAGCACTGGGACTGGAGTTAGGAAGACTCATCTTCCTCAGTTAATATCCAGCATCAGATACTTACTATCTGTGTGACCCAGGGCAAGTCATTTAACCCAGTTTGCCTCAGCTTCCTTATCTTCAAAATGAGCTAGAGAAGGAAATGACAGACCACTCCAGTATCTTAACCAAGAAAACCCCAAATGGGGTCAGAAAGAGTTGGATACAACTGAAAAACAACTTAATATCTATGTGACTTTGTGGAAATCACTTGAACTCACCTCTATTTCCATATCTCTCAAATAACAGAGTTGAAATAGATAACTAAATCTAAATTCTTTCCAGTTCTAGATCCTATGACCATGAGGCTGTGGAATATAGCCAGTCCCTCAACAGTAGAAAAAGGCCCAAGGTAGTAAAAACCCTGAGGCAGTATTTGAACTCAGGTCTTCCTGCCTCCAAGTCCAGGACTCTATCCATTACTTTCCCCCACCCCCCTCACAATTTGCCACACTACCACAGTAACATAAGACCCTACATGAATCAACACATCCTCTCTGTAGCGTGTTGCCTCCTAATTTCCCTGGGTTGAAGATGTATACAATTCTTAACGAGGCTGGTTCAGCATTAAGGAATGGTCAATAAGGCTCTCATGATGTCACTGTCAACTTCTGCATTTTTCACTGAATAAAATACAGCTCCCGTTTCTGGAATTCTAAGTCTTTGACAATAGGGTTCCAATTTTACCTTTCCAGCCTCATCTAATACTACTTATCTTCATATGCTCCATGTTCCTGTCGAGCTGGATTACTTTCTTACCCATTCTGACCCTCTATGCAGTATCCACGGTGCCTGGCTGATCTTGCCAAAAACAGATGCTTTACATATGTTTGTTGTATTGGATAAAAGCCAGAAGAGGAAGGTACATGCCTTTAGTGAAAGTTCACAGAGAGAAACTACAAACCCATTTGTTTTCTTAAAAGTACCATGACTATACTGGCAAAGCTTAATTATTCAAAACAATTTAAATCCACTGACAAAAGCTATCAAGACTTCTTGTATTTAATAGTTTCAGTCTTCACTCTCCTTTCATTCCCACACTTTATTAGAAACTGACGACTAAAATGTGAAATTAATTCATTCTTCCATTTTTCCCTATTCCAACTTTGTTCATCTTGTAGGAAAGGGTCTCAACAACAGTGAAATATCCCAAATAAGAAGAGGTGTATCAACCAACATGCATGAGGAAAAAGAAGAAGGACTTAGAAATGGAGTGCTTTATCTCAAAAATGAGCTTATGATCTAGTTGTTTCACCGGAAATGTCACATCTATCTTTCATGGAATCTTAGATCAATATCTTAAGCAATGATAGTAGAAAGAAAGGTGACAAGATTTACTGTGGAGGCTTAGATGTTTTATAATAACTCTTTTCTTAACAATACAGTTCTCTAATATACTGATGCCTGGTTAGCTGCAAGGGGGCAGCCTGGAAAGAAATGTCTGCTACATTCACCAGGATTTCTTGTGGCAATTTTGGTGGAGAGATAGACAGAGAAAGAGACTGGGAGAAAGGGACAGAGAGAGAGAAAGAAAGAGAGAGACAGAGAAAGACAGAGACAGAGAAAGAGAGGAGGTAGGGAAAGGGAGAGAAGGCGGGGCAATTGAGCTAGATTGGGGGTTGCTTAACCACGTGAACAGCAAAATTATGAAAGGCCATGAAAGTACCACATGGTTTCAATTCATCCAAGAGGGCTTAGTTCCTCTTAGAATAAGTTTTCCTATGAGAACATACCACCCAATCCAAAGATGGTTCCCTTCTTCATTTATATTCTCTTAATCTCTAAAAATAGTGACTTTGTCCCTCCTATGACTAAGGGTGGAGTGGAAATTGAGAAAACATTAAAGAGTCAGGACTTTTGAAATCTTCCAAAGATGGGAGTATTAACAAATTCCTTTTCTGATTCAATCTTCCAATGCAATAGTAATAATATGAACCTATAATCCAATGCAGTAATACTAGTAGAAATCATGATAATAATACCCACAACTACTGTCATCTGTGACATCTATAGAGGGCTTCAACATTTATAGAGCCCTTTACATTCATTATCCCATCTGATCCCTTACAATCACCCCATAATGGAAATACTATGGGTATAATTATCTGCATCTTGGAGATGACCAAACAGGGGTCATCTTTACCATGGTTCCTTAACTCGTAAGTATCAGATCCAAGATTCCAACTGAGATGATTCAGAACCTGCCTATTAAGTCTGTCCTCAGTCCATGCTGTTTCTCGATAGAGGCCAATTTCATTCTCATAAAGGATCAGGCTATTCTGGGTCTGACCAAACCAGACCTCTAGTTACAATTAAACTCTGAAGTGGAATTTTGCCAAGCAACAAGCATTTACTAAGCCCTCACTAGGTGCCAGGCACCATGCTAACTGATCTCAACTGTTGTGGTTTTTTTTTTTAAGTCATACGTGAGAATTTACTATTTATTTTCCACAATCCCAAATTACTCTCCTATATGCCAATAATGGTCTAGAGATAAGGGAGTTGAGTTCCAATCCCACATTTACTACTTGTGATCTGTAACACTTTGAACAAGACTCAAATTCCTCTGGGTGTCACTTTCTTCACTAGAGGTACTGACTGCTAATTTCTGAAGTCTCCTAGAACTCTCATTCCTAAGACAGTCTGGGGTAAAACAAAACAAAACAACAACAAACAAACATGCTATTCATGCAGAATTTTTACCACAGAGAAGGACTGCTCCAACTACAAGTCAATGTTAAGTGGAATTTCACATTTGAGAAGAAATAAGTAAGTGAAAATGCCAGCACACATCTCACTATCATGTCTGCGTTTCTGGACAATTCTTTTCACCTCTCAGGACCTCATGGTCTGAATCTGTGGAATGGGAGTAATAATATACCTATATCACTGGAGAGTCATGAGGAAAGTTTTGTAAAGCTATGTAACTGAGGACAGTGTCAGTAGCTGGCTCTACCGTGGTCACTCCTACTATTCTGTTGTTGCTCCTGTAAGACAAGAATGAGAAGGTGACCTATGTTAAGTACAGGATTGCAAGGCAGACACAAAACCATAAAAATCAGGAGTTCATAGGTGCTCTATGGCAGGCCAGGGAAGGCAAGAATAGACAAAACTCTACAAGAATAGAAATTTAGGAGAGTAACGTGGGAATTCCATTCTTCATATCCAGATGGGTGACTAAGCCTGAGAGACTATCAAAATATATTTTCATAAAAAGGGAGGGAGAGAGAGATGGAAACAGAAAGGGGGGGGAGGAGAGAGAGGGGGAGACAGAGAGAGAGAGAGAGAGAGAGAGAGAGAGAGAGAGAGAGAGAGAGAGAGAGAGAGAGAGAGAGAGAGAGACAGAGACAGAAAGAGGAGGGGGAGAGAGGGGAGGGAAGAGAGGGAGGGGAGAAAGAGACAGAGAGAGGGAAAGGGAGAGGGAGAGTAAGAAACTGAAATTCCTTCCCCCTGGAACATTTATTTTCTTTTTCATTTTTCTCCTACATTTTTCCCTAGAAGTGCAGATAAACACAGCCTGTGCTGAACCCAAGGCTCAGACTTATCCGTGTGTGTCCTGACAAGCATTTTGGCTTAAAAATCTATCCCAGCTAAAGAATGGGGCTGAACCTGCTGCATGGGAAATTACCAGGTAAAAACCAGAAACCTGAAAGTACAAGGAAGCCTCACATGGTTCACAAGTGTCTTGTTTCTACTGATGGACATCTTTTTTTTTTTTAAATAATAACTAAAGACAATAACTTTTAAATCACCAGAACTACACCTGAATTTTACTGAATCAAAATACCAAAACCATTATGTTGACACTATTTAGATATGTTTGACTTGTCTCACTTTATTTTAAAGTATTTTTTTTTTCTTATGAGAGACCAGTCCCAAAATAATGCTTAGGACAAAAATAATCATATGCATGAGAAGCATTATTAAAACTGAAACCAACTATATATTATTTTCAAGGTTTAATTTTCTAAAGCAAGGTTCACTGAGGTTCCCAAAAAGAGACAATGTCACCCTATCACCCTAGGTAACTATTTAGAAAATGCTCACACTTTAGCTCCTAAGCCAAAATGAGTAACACCCTATAATTTGCATTACTTCAGCTTTTGGTTCCCACCCTATCAGGTTCTAGGGCCACTGTTGCTACTTCCACATTTTGAGCCAAAAAGCCCCACCTCCTGTTGAGCAATAATTCATCACCGATGGGGCTAGGGGATTATCAGAGTATGTGTGGCTCTCAGATACAGATATGATGATGCCATATGGTCTTTTTCCAACTACAAGATCTAATTTCAATTGGAAGGCTTAAGAAAAGGAGTCCTTCACTTCCTGCCTCCCACTCTCCTTTAAATCAGTACCAAAAACTGCTTCCTACTGCAAATCCTGTATATATCACTTTCTTGACATTACATTCTAATCAATAAAAGCCAGTGTAGCTCAGAGCATCGCAGTGGGTGAAGAAAGTCAAATGAAATCCTTCCTACGAGTGGAGCTAATGACCTCCCAAAAAAGTTTGTGGGACACTTTGGAGACTAGACAGGGATAGAAGAGGAAGAAGAATGGGAAAAAATGTTAATTCTCCCTCTCTCTCTTTTTCTTTCTCCAAATCCTTAAAACTCCATCAACTAAGAGAGCAAGTTCAAATGCTTGCCACAGACTGGTTTATATGACCCTGGACAAGTCACTTAACCTCCCAGGCAACTTTCTAAGATTAAGTTACAGATGAGTGGCTGATCTGTGACAGTGGAAGGAGATTCCACACTGGGAGGTGGGAGTTCTTCATACCACTGACTTTTAAAATCCATACCAAAAGTCAAATTAAATAAAACTAACATTAATTAGTGAACAGTTATTGAACACACCCCGCAAGACATAGGGAAGGACATGCACAATGGATACAAAGGACACTTCAAATAGTTTACCAGTTTAATTTGCCAAGAGACAAGAAACAGCAGCTGGTATTTCCTTAACTGAATCATCAAGGCTGGTGTCATCAGAAGATTTCCTACCTGGGCAGGATTCTTACATACAGATGGGGGAAACAATACTGCATGTCATAATCTGGGGTAGTAAAAAAGAGGTTCCATTCAATTACTTGTGCCTGAGTTGTTCAGTCACGTGGCTAATTAGCAGCAAGGGGAACTTGAGCAAGGGAAATATGAGCTTCTGGGGCCACAAGTTTTTGAAGAAATAGGGAAAAGATTTCTTTTAAAAAAATGAAGGGTAAGAGATGAAAAAGATGAAAAATTGGAAGACTGGTCCTTGAGAACATACCAAAGAAATCCCTAGAAAGCCTCCTTCCTGTGTCTTTCTCTGGAACCATGATTCTTCTCTCTCATCATGTTAAATTTCAAATTAAGTCCCAACTAATTTGACTAAAAATTGAGCTGCAGATTTGGGAATGACTACATAAACAAATAATCAGGTCTAGGCCTATCCCCTCTGTATTAATCAGAAGCTCTCCTTTTATACTAATGGCTAACATTGCACATGAAAACTGATTGCCAAGACAGTGGGAGATAACACCCAGATAGACATAATCAAGTTGAACACCAACTTGTCTCAAAACCACAAGACGGGTCAAGAACCACCACCCACCAGCCCTACTGGCATTCTTTTCTGGGCAGGCATATCCCTTAATTTTTTTTTCATATTAATTTATATTAATTATAAATATATTTCATCACATTAGTTACAACAGAATTAATTTACATGGATTCTGTGACCATAATCTTTCTTTACATCTAATAGCTGTTTCTTTGTGACAAGGTTGAGGTATCTTTAGAACAAGAATTTTTAAAAAGTGCTTTGAAAATTGTTTCAGTTTTCTTCCTCCTCCTCCACCTGTCCAACCACCCACAGTGGTGATCTAACTTACTCGGAACTCAGGAACTCCATCCCAAGAGTGGGTAGATCTCCTTTCAAATGATTTCTTTACCCTTCTCTACTTACATCTTTACTATGAGGGAACAGACCATTGCATTTTCTATAAAACGCTTCCTCGATATCAGTGTTACACAAACAGCAGCAAGTATTATTTAGTCCATTATTTTTTTCTTGATTCATAGATTTTTGAGCTGAAAGGGGAAGCTTAGAAGCCATGGAATTCAACTTTCTCATTTTAAAAAAGAAATAGAGAGAGGTTCAGTGCTCAGGGTCACACAGCTAATAAATGACTGACTGAGCCAAGATTCAAACCCAACTCCATGTCTAGCTCTCTATCCACTGGGTCATTTAGATGCCATTCCATGCAAGATAGCCTTCCCCAGGGCTGGAATGGACTCCTACATCAATTCAGTCTCTCAGAATACTTAGCTTCCTTTCAAGACTCAGTTCAGACACCATTTGTGCTGATGCCTTTAGTTGTAAGAGCTCTCTCCTAATTACATTGTATTATTATTACCATCATTATATTTAAGTATTTTATCTTTTTAATAGACTATAAGTTCCCTGAGGAAAGATGGTATGTGGTCATTTTGCCTTTATATCCCCTACTACAACAGCAGACATTTCATAAAAGCTTTTCAAATGTTGCACGAATTGCTCTGAGAATACCATATCACACAAGTTACATCCACTTGAACAAAAAAATCAAGAAATTGAAACAGTTGGTAAACTAAAGAAAAAATGATGGGAGGTCTCATGAAGCAGGATACAGAGAGCTGACATTGGAGATGAGGAGGGTTCACGTCCTGTCTCTGACATACCGGCTGTGTGACCCTGGGTGAGTCATGCTGGATGGTTTCTGTAGACAACAAGGTGCTGATTCTCTCTGAACACAGTTAATGAACAAGCAGCAGATGTATAGTTCAACATGGGCCCAATCTCAAAGCCTACCAGAGCCACAGGACTTGTCAGAGTGTGTTCTCTGAGAACCCAGGGTCAGGATGAGAGCAGGTAAACAGGTGATGTTTATACACAGAAAGCCAGATAAACTAAATCCATCATCCAATTCAAGCTTCCTCCAAACCCCATCTTCCCCACAGCCTAATATAATGCCTCAGTCCCGTGAAAACATACTTTTACAAAAGTACTTTTAATGGTAAGAAAGAAGCTGGGGGTGGGCGGGCCAGCAGGAGAAGGAGACCATAGGCTATCTTAGGTCACAGACCTTGCTCGGACACTTCATTAAGCTAGGGTGGGTTGGGAGACAATTGCAGAGAACATTCACAACTGGCAATAATAATACATATGGGAGCTGAATCAGGCATTTCAAACTCATAAAGGCTAATTAATACTATGGTCTTAGAACAGGATAGTCTAGAGAGAAATTGCCAGCCTGCGTTAAGAGCATTCAAACTAGAGAAACTAGTTATAAAAAAAACAATTCACAGCATGGAATGAGAGCGAAAGAACATAAAGGAAAGGAGATGAGATGATGCAGGAAAAGTCTAGATTTTCAACTCAAGCAAAAATTAGGGGGCCCTAACTTGCAATTAAAAAAAAAAAACCCAACAACTTCTTTGCTCTATCTCTAAATGTGACAGACAGAAGCTGTTAGTAACCATTTCTTCCAAACCATCCCTGACAAACAATTCACTGAAATAGAGTTGGATCAAAAAGAACTTGAGTCATTAATAGGAGGAAGAAGAAAAATCAGAAGGAAGAGGAGAGAGAGGAAAGGGACAAAAAAGGGATGGGAAAGGGAAGGGAAAGGAAAGGAAAGGAAAGGAGGGGGGATTATTGCAAAATATATTTAGATGAATCATTCAGGGGCTAAATTCTGAAGGACTATCTTCTTATGCTTGACTTCTAAAGACAATAATGCACAAAATAGGAACTCGTTAAACGTTTAGTGTATTACATGACACAAACATATGTACATGCAAAAGACAATTGAGTGTATAAATAGAAATGACAACATTAACTTTATATATCTATAAAAAAAATCTGAAGTTCTGCCAGATTCTAACATGTATCTGAGCAATGAAGTAACATCAATGAAACTAGTCATTGCCCAGTGATGTAAAAACCTACTTCCTCAGTAGCAAGGGTAACATTATTGTTATTATTATTATTGTTAAAGAAATGAGTGCTTCTGGGGACCAGAGCTCCATAACTGTGCAGAACTAGGTTTTCTCAAAGGTTCAAACAGGTTCAGAGAAATATACTGCAAGTCTCTTACCAGTTCAACTGCCTCCCAACCTCTACATGTCTAAGCAGTTAAATGGAAAATATACAATTTATATAACATTTAATATTATAATTAGATATTTTATAGGATATGAAATATAAAAGTAACTTGCATTTATATAAAATTTTAAGGGTTACAGAGCAAATTATGAATATCATCTCATTTGATCCCCACCATAACCCTGAAAAGTAGGTGCCATTATGACCCCCATTTTACAGATAAGGAAGCTGACGCAAACAGGTTAAATAGGTCATACAGCTTTGTAAGCATATTAGGCTTTATCTGAACTATGGTTTTTCATCAGGTCCAGTGCTCTATCTACCATAAAACCTAAGAGATACATGATGGATGGGCTACAAGTGTGCGCGTATGTACACCCCTGTGTGTGTGCATGCACACACACACACCTACACACACACAAACAACCAAAATGAATACTTCTTGTTTAGTTGTAACAGCATATCCAACTCTTCGTGACTCCACTTAGGGTTTTCTTGGCAGAGACACTAGAGTGGCTTGCCAGTCCCTTCTCCAGCGCATTTTACAGATGAGGCAACTGAAGCAAACTGGGTTAAGTGACCTGCCCAGGGTCACACAGCTAGTAAGTGTCTGAGACCAGATTTGAATTCAGGAAAATGAGTCTAACTCCAGGCTCAGCATTCTATCCACTGTACCACTCTGCTGCCCCCCAGATGAACAAAATGCCAATCTTCCATGATCAAAACTTTGCTTCCTAGTTGTAATCTAATAAGTGGGTATTTTTCATCCCTGATATCATTGTAGACACTTACAATGTAAAAAAGCAAAGCAATGTTGGTCATGACCATCACCCACTAAGGACGATTTGTTCTTTTACAGATGATGAACTGAACCAAGGCAATTTTATTTCAAGTAATTCCAGCGATCTATCTGCAAAGAACATAACCGCTAACAAGGAATTTGTCACGATAGTCCTACCAGTTCTTTACCTTGTCATATTTGTAGCAAGCCTTCTGCTCAATGGCCTCGCAGTGTGGATTTTCTTCCATATCAGAAACAAAACGAGTTTCATTTTCTATCTCAAAAACATCGTGGTCGCAGACCTGATGATGACCCTGACGTTTCCCTTCCGGATAGTTCGTGATGCAGGATTCGGGCCATGGTACTTCAACGTTTTCCTCTGCCGCTATTCATCTGTTCTCTTTTATGCAAACATGTACACTTCCATCATCTTCCTTGGACTGATCAGCATTGATCGTTACCTGAAGGTGGTGAAGCCATTTGGCGATTCTCGGATGTACAGTATCACTTTTACAAAGGTTTTGTCTGCTTGTGTGTGGGTGGTCATGGGTTTTCTGGCCTTACCCAACATAATTCTTACAAACGGTCAACCAACGGTAGAAACCATCAATGAATGCACCAAACTGAAAAGTCCTCTAGGCGTGAAATGGCATGAAGCAGTCATCCATGTCAATAGCTGTTTATTTGTTGCCGTCCTGGTGATACTGATTGGATGTTACATTGCAATATCCAGGTACATACAGAAATCCAGCAAGCAATTTATTAGTCAGTCAAGCAGAAAACGAAAACATAACCAAAGCATCAGAGTTGTGGTGGCTGTCTTTTTTACCTGCTTTCTGCCCTATCATTTATGTCGAATACCATTTACCTTTAGCCATTTGGACAAGCTATTAGATGATTCAGGACACGTAATTCTCTATTACTGCAAAGAAATGACACTTTTCTTGTCGGCATGCAATGTATGCCTGGACCCCATCATTTACTTTTTCATGTGTCGGTCGTTTTCACGAAGGCTGTTCAAGAAATCGAATATCCGAACGAGAAGCGAAAGCATTCGGTCACTTCAGAGTGTCAGGAGGTCAGAAGTACGGATTTATTATGAATATACTGATGTGTGACATTACAAAACCCTCTTCCTATATGTAATGAGTCTGTAAAAAGTGTAAATAAATACTCCTTTTGATTACCTCTGGGTTGAGAACATCATATTATACTTTAAAATAATGAGAATGCTCTGGAATTTATACTAACTGGAGAGTAACTGAAAACTTGATAGAGGCAAAGGATCATGGAATTAGAGGTAGAAGGGATCTCAAATTGCCCTTCAGTAGTTCACAGAAGAGGAAGCAGGGCCCAGGGAGGCTTCTGGCTCATTGTCACGCAAGTAATAATTAAAAGCCAGGAGTCAAATCTGGTCATCTTTTTACTTTACCTCTCTGCATCTCTGTTGCTACTAAAATAATGATAATTATTATTATTATACAATAGAATACATAATAATATTGGTAGGCACAAAACGAAGTTGGTAACTAAAAATTAAAGGAAACCTCTGATATAGCAACATATACTTAACTGGTAAGTAATATACTCACTACTGAGCTATCTCAATCATCAGTTTTTGTATTTTTATCTTGAAATTTTAAAAGGGACCAAGCCTGATGAGACACACCTATAATCCCTGCTAGAGAAGGCAAAGGCTGGCAGACTGCTCCAGGTCAGGAGTTCTGAGCTATAGTAGACCTAAAGTCAAATGAGTGCTGCACTAACTTGGGCAACTATGTAATACAATCTGTAATTCTTGCTACTGACGGAGGCTGAGGCTGGTGAATTGAAGGAGTTTGAGAGTTTTGAGCTACAGTAAGGCTAAAATGAGTGTTACACTAAATCAGGCACCACTACGGTGAGCCACCAATGTAAGTGATCACATGTCTAAAATCCCTGCTACTAAGGGAGGCTTAGTGTAGTTCAGAAGTCCTGAGCTGCTGACGGGCTAACGCTGTCTGGGGTCTACACTAAATCCTATGTTTTTTCCCTTTCACCCTCCTCCCAGAAAAGGGTCAACCAGGCTCATGAAATAGGAGATGAGCTGGTCCAGATCAGAAACTAAGAGTGTAAAAGCTGATCAGGTGTGGGACTAGATCCATGAGTGATTGCTACACTTTAAGCCTGGATGCAATGGGGGACCCAGAGTCCCCTACCACAAAAAACTGAAAGAGCAGATTGCATTCTTTGTGGGACAAAGCCCTTAGCAAATAAGTGAGTGTACTGCTAGCCCCTCATAACTAACTGCTAATGAGACTGTGAAGGAGACGCAACAAAAAAGAAAATATCTAGTCTTTAGTCTCACAGTCAAAAAGCTGAGAGGAAAGAGTGTGTTGCTACTTATCATGAAAACAAACAAATTCAGTGACTCTGCACTATTCAGAGAAATACAGAAACTGGGAATGAGAAAAACCTCGGACTATGGAGCTCAATGCACACCTAAACAAAAAACCTCTCGCTAACACCTCTGAGAAGTGAGACCATCCAGAATCTGCTGGAAGAACATGACTGAGGGAAAATCCACTCCCTGCCTCTGGGCACCCGCAGTGGCCCATTCTCCTTCTAAGTGCTCGAAGTTTGGTTTGTTTTTTTTCCTTCAACCCCTGATATCAAGCCTAAATTTGCCTCTTCCACCAGCTTGTCCTCTTCTGCCTTTGGGGCTAACCAGAACATGTCTTGTTTTACTTCCACAGAGTAATCTTTGAAATACTTGAAAACAGCTTTCATGCCCCAATTCTCTCGTCTAGGCTAAAAATACTCAGCTAGTTCCTTCCAATAACACTCATACAGCATGGTGTCCATTCCTCTCCTCAGCTTGGATGTCCAGTTTCAGACAGCTTGTCTCTGGCATTCTGTAAATGTGGCATGCTGGACTGAAGACAGTATTTCAGATTAAGATCTGACCAGGGCAAAGTACATTAGAACTCACTTCCTCTTCTGTTCCAAATGCTATGAGTTTCCTTTCACGCAGCTGTTTCTGGTTAGTGAATAGTTCCTTTGTCACACTGTTGACTCATATTGAGCCTTTGGTCAATGAAAACCCCCAGAAGTTTTTCACAGGAACCGTCGCCTTCTCTCCCCTCCAAATCGGAAGGTCTCTCCACACTATCTTGGATGGCTGTTTATTTCTCCCTTGTTTCACTTCTCCAACTGTTGGTTATTGTATGCCACCCAAGGCAGGGCACAACAAGCAAAAAATTGAAGTAGAAGTTGGTTAGATCAAGAGTAAGAGGTCAAGCATAGTGGGGTTGCGAGGATGACATGATTTCCCTAATCCTTCACAGTCTAGTTTCACATCAAGCTTCTTAAGGATAATTGAAAGTAGAGCCTTTAATTTTGTGTGTGTAGAAAAGTTTAACAAAATACTATTCAGCATCAAAATCTAACTTAGGAATGTGTACATTTCATCTGTATTATATTTGTAAATATCTCTTTATTTTAGAAGGAAGATGATTAAATTAAAATTTTAAAAGTGATAGAAGGTGATACAAGACCACAAACTTTAAGACAACTTAAAGATTATTGAGACTGACCTCGCAATTCTATAAAGGAAGAAAATAACATTTTGATTACTTACATGAATTCCTCAAGGTCAAAAAGGTATAGGCAGTACAAGCCAGCATTTGAATCCAGATTCTCTGCCTCTGAATCTGGTATACTTTCTATACACTATGTTGTCTGTCTTAATAATTTATTGAGTAATTATTAAATGCCAACACAACTTTATTACTATTTTATTGAAATTTAATAATTAAAATTAACACTTCTTAAGAATTTACTGTGTCCACAAAGGCACTGAGCCTAAAGTTACAAAACAATCCCTGTGGGGAAAACACCTTTTATTGTTCCCTGGACATAGTTCATACTCAAGAGAGGTTTCATTAAATTGAGTCAACACAATAACTATGGCATAGGAGTAACCTCTGGGAACTTCAAGTAATGCTTCAAATCTTTACAGCACATTTTTCTTTCTTTATTAAAATTCACTTAGGCTTTGTCCTTACTGAGCAGGGCTCCCATCTCAAGGAGCTTATAATTGTGTGAATGGGGCAAGTCATTTAACTTCTCAGGTCCTCGGTTTCTTCATCTTTAAAATGACATGGAGGAGGGGAGGACTAACTCTGTGGTCCTTTGCTGCTGTAAACTTATGGACCTACGATGCTGTGATATTCACAGAAGATGACAATATTTCATTGGGATAACTTCAAGTCAAATGCACTAGACAGATAGGACACCACAAAAGTGGAGAAGGTTTTCCTCAAAACTAAAGGATGTAGAGAATAGAAACTATGAACATCTTTCTGCTTAGGAATGGTATCTGGTGACTAAACTGAAATGAACTTATTCCTGAGGAGCCAACCTGGAAGGGCAGGGAAGGGGAGAACTGGTTTCTCTCCTTTTCCCACAGGCCCTAAAGTCAGAAGCTTAGAGCAGTGGTCAAGACTCACTGCTGCAACAGGATGACGGTTTCCCTGCAGGATCGGCTCTCTGTGATTATGACCAGGGATGGAAAGCAGCAGAACAAAATCTTACTTCAGTCTTGACTATTTCTTATGAGATGGCTCAATGAGGCACCAAGGTAGTGAAGTGGTTAGAGCCGTGGACCTAGAGTCAGATGACCTGAGTTTGAATCCTGCTTCAAGACACCTATTAGCAGTGTCAACCTGGGCAAGTCACTTAACCCCTATCTCAGTTTCCTCATCTGTAAAAGGCAGATAATAACAGCAACTCTCTTCCAGGCTTGTTATGAGGATAAAATGAAATAATATTTGGAAAGTGATTTGTAAACCTTAAAGCCCTAATTAAATGTTTGTAAAGGATGATGGTGGTAGTGGTTATAGAAAGCTGCTGGACTCCAGGGTACCTGGTTGCACTCCCTTTCTTTCCCCACAAACCATCCCCTTTTCATAACTTTGCTTTGTAGTTGTTGAAAGTATGGCCATCCTCAGAACCATGTTTCACTCTTTCATCGCTCTTACACCCATGTCCGATTTATCCCAAGTCTATTTGAGCTTGCCTCTATCGCATCTGTCTCATTTGCCTCGTACCACCTGGCTTTCCAAGAGGACTATTCCAATAACCTCTTTATAGGTCCCCCTCTCAAGTCTCTCCCCACTCCACAAAGCTGCCAAAATGTTACTCTCCACAACATAAACACCACTGCCTTTAGAAATAAATACAGTACTGTTAACCATTTAAATCATTCACAACTTGGCTCCAGTCAATTTTTCTACACTTTCTAGAAAGAAACTCCCACTCACACACTTTATCCTGCAGCCAAATTGACCCTCTTACTGGTCTTCACCCACATAACATTCTGCTCTCCCTCCTCATCTCTACCTCACAGAATTCCTAGCTTGCTCCAAGATTCAGCTCAAATGACACCTCCTACAGGAAACCTATCTTGATTCCCCACCACCACTACTTGCTGGTGCTCCCCCATCCTAATTCCTGGAATTAAACTGCATTTAATAATTAATTAATTGTTTTTAATGAAATTAAGATTAATGAAATTAAATTAACAATTAAATTGTATTTAATTATCTGTGTACTATCCCCTCCCCACTCCCCTGCCCCCAAAAGGATGTAAGATCCTTGACTCCTAGGAGAATTTTGTTTTACATTGCTATCCATAACACATAATGTATGCAAAATAAGTATCTGTTGAATTATTGAATGAATAAATTTAGCATCTGACTGGCTACATATAAACCAAGTAGAAATCAGCATTAAAAAAAGCAAGGAGAGAGACAGGGTTTCTAGGGTCACCTAGAAAAACCTGACCTAGACATCTCTCTGCCCAGCTTGTCTAAAAGCTTCAGACACACACAGACTAAAAAATAAGAACAAAACTGCTAAGACCTGTACGTGTTTTCTAGCAGTGTTCACAATCTGGGCATATGTGAGATTCCCGTTGTTTGTTTAGGAAATAGAGAGATGATGTTGTTGTTATTGGCAGGTTAGACCTTTTTCAGGGGCACTGATGGAGTCTTGGCACTATGGAAATGGGATTCATACCAGACATCTCACGAGAGTCATTAATATCAATGGAAATAAAAGCCCTTCATGATTCTCCTTTTCAGAACAGCTAGAGCTGACCAT